CCTAAGTTTCATCATCTGCAGGACACAGATGCCAGTTTTTAAATATTTTTTTAAATACAGCCTGTGATGTAATTATGGATGTAAAATTATATCTCCTAGCTCAAAGAGAACTGTTGAAAGAACAGCAGCTGCTTTGTTTGTTGAGAATCTCAGTATCATTATTTTTATGGGATGCTTCAGAGAAACACTAATTTGTGAAAGAAAAGCATCCCAGAAGGCAAATTTGACAGTTTAAATTCTCACGCTTACCGTGTTTGGAGGATCATAATTAATTGAAAGATAATGAAAAGCTGAATACAGCTTTGTTCAACTTCTTCATGGAGCCAATGAAGTGATTCAGAATTAAATTTTCAAAATCTGAAAGAAGAAAGCATGCTATGCTTTAGACAGAAAAACATGAGGTGGCTGAGAGATTATGAAATGCTGATGGGCATCCCAACAGCATTCTAATACAGTTTCAGCTGGATTGAGACTGTAAGAATAAGCAAAATCCCTTCCCACACTGATAAACACATACTTGTATATGGCATTCCATTTTTGAGGCAGACTTAAATAGTATGCTAGTTTATTATTGTCTGGAAAGTGAAGCCAATGAAAAACTGCCAATTTGGCCCTTATAAGGAAATCAAAACCTAATCTTGTCTCAAAGTCAATCATTTTTGCTAGGTTTAATAACTAAACCAATTTGTGGGCAAACCTTAAGAAATGGAATCTTAAGAAATGGAAAACTCTGGAGGAGTTTCAAGAACAAAGTGTAGCTCCAATTAAAATCTAAGAAGAACCATGAACTTCAGAACCTAGATTCCATAGTGCATACATGTTAAGTTGCTTTAGTCATGTTCGACTCTTTGTGCCCTGTGGACTGAACCCTGCCAGGCCCCTCTGTTTTGGGATTCTCCAGGCAAGAACACTGGAGTGAGTGGCTTGCCATTTCCTCCTCCAGCGGATCTTCCTTATGCAGGAATCCAACCTGCGTCTTTTACGTCTGCCTGCTTTAGCAGGTGGGTTCTTTACTACTAGCACCATCTGGAAGCCCCCTATACACACCTAGAACCTGGCAAAAAGAAGGTGATGGAAAACCATGAATGAGTAAGTTCAGTGAATGAGTAAGTAAATGAAGAGAGATACTTCCCCAACCTCTATGGAGATCAATTCTTTTTTATGAAAACAATTTTATATAGTCAATCTAGGTGTAGAATGTAATTTATATTAACTTTCTACCTATTTTCTAATATAGTCTGGGAATTAATTCATCCAGTATAGATAACATTTTAAAAAGAAATGCCATTTTGAGTTTTAAATAATCAATTTTAAATGGGGTTTTATAAATATTAATCATTGTAATAACTGTCACTTTATTACTCTGCCATGCCTTGTACATGTATCATCTCTTTTGTATTTACAAAGAACCAACAAGGTTAGTTTTAGCAACCCATTTTCTAAAGGGAACAAAGGCTCAGAATGCTAAATCACATGCTCAAAACTACACAGCTAGTAAAAGGCAGAACCAGGAGTCACAAACAGTCCAATTCTAAGGCTCACCATCTTAATCTCTAAATTGTCTTATGAACAGCTAATGAACATTTTAAACTTTGAGACACAAACCCCTTTCACAATATAGATCCCTTCCTGAGACTAAATATGCATCTGTACATTGACAGGTAAGTTCTAGAACATGGAGACATACATGGGGCAAACCCCATCCCCATATAAATGCTGGACTTAGGTCAGAAAATTTATGAAATACTATGGAAAATTAGGAAGAAATATGAAAATTGCAACAGAAACTTCCATCACATACATAAACAAATATTAAAAGAAAAAGGGGGTACTGAATTTTTTTAAGTAATCATATATTCTATAATAAGAAATATGGTGTCCACTGCAACAAAACTTCAAATACAGTATCTATCATTAAATGTTAGCAAAATTATATTGCAAAAGTTTTTCTTCTCTTTGATCTTCTCCCCTCCCCTTCCCACCTCACTGTGTTCATCTCCCCCCACCCCACATCTCCTTCCCTCAATACCGTGAATACGTATTTAGTGACTGGCGCATTATGTCCTGTTTTGGGTGTTTGTGATATACTAGGAAAAACAAAACAAAACACAGAACACCAGGATGAAACAAAAATCACTATCTCCCAGGAGCCTATATTCTGTGGGAGGACACATGATAAACATGATCTAATAGAAAGTGATAAATGCTATATTGAAAAAATACAGCAAGTTTGCAGGTATGGGAATGATAGAGGCAAGTGGTTATTTTAAAGGGGATGGTCAGGATAGCCCTCACTGAGAAAAGCATATTGAAGCAAAGCTTTAAAGGAGGCGAAGGAGTTAACCAAGTGACTTTCAGAGGAAAGACTGCTCTGGACAGAGGGTCAGTCAGTGAATAGGCACAAAGCGGGAATGTGTTTGATAAGCTTGAAGCAAGGAAGGAGACTGTGTAGCTGAATGGAATGAGTGAGGGGTTAGAACCAAGAGATGAGGTCAGAGAGCTAATGGAAGCCAAAAGACACAGAATGGATACAAAAACAAGACCCGAATATATGTTGCCTACAAGAGAGCCACCCAGACCTTGGGACACACACAGACTGAAAGTGAGGGGATGGAAAAAGATATTCCTTGCAAATGGAAATCAAAAGAAAGCTAGAGTAGCAATACTCGTATCAGATAAAAATAGACCTTAGAATAAAGACTATTACAAGAGACAAGGAAGAGACACTACATAATGATCAAGGGATCAACCCATGAAGAAGATATAACAATTTAAAATATCTATGTAACCAACACAGCAGCACCTCAATACATAGAACAAGTGCTGATAGCCATGAAAGCAGAAATCAACAGCAACACAATAATAGTGAGGGACTTTAATACCCTACTTATACCAATGGACACATCATCTAGAGAAAAAATTAAGAAACATAAGCTTTAACATGACACAATGAACCAGATAGACTTAATTGACATTTATAGGACATTCCATCTGAAAACAGCAGAATACACTTTTCAAGTGCACAAGAACATTCTCCAGGACGGATCACATCTTGAGTCACAAATCAAGCCTTGGCAAATTTAAGAAATCTGAAATTGAATCAAGCATCTTTTCCAACCACAACACTATGAGATTAGAAATCAATTACAGAAAAAAAAACTGTAAAAAATTACAAACAAACAATACACTACTAAATAACCAAGAGATCACTGAAGAAATCAAAGAGGGAAAAAAAAATACACAGAAATAAATGACAATGAAAACACAGTGACCCAAAGCCTATGGGAGGCAACAAAAGCAGTTCTAAGAGGGAAATTGACAGCAATACAATCCTAACTCAAGAAACAAGGAGGGGATATACGCATACATATATCTGATTCGTGTTATTGTATAGTAGAAACTAACACAGCATTGTAAAGCAACTATACCCCGTTAAAAAACAGACAGTTATCTCTTAGAGGAATTAAAATGAGAAAAACTTTATACTACCTTGCCTTAGTCCATTTCCCATACTCTTCACTTCTTGACGTAGATACAGGTTTATGGTTGGTCTCATAATTCTTTTTTGTCTGAGGAACTTCCTGAATTTTGTATATATTTTGAAGGTAGAGTCACTGAGACTTCTAGACATATTAGATGTACCCTATGAGAGAAAGCAAAGTCAATATGACCCCAATGCTGATAAATCACAATAATAATAGCACCAAATGATTTTTTGCATACATTTAGGAAGAGACACTAGGGTGAAAAAAAATTCAACTCTAAAGAATACAACTTGATACACCTAGTGTATTATTTTATAATCTGATATGTGCCATGGATTTTTCTGCCCCTCAAAGTTCCAAAGAAAGTGAAGTTGCTCAGTTGTGTCCGACTCTTAGCAACCCCATGGACTGTAGCCAACCAGGCTCCTCCATCCATGGAATTTTCTAGGCAAGAGTACTGGAGTGGGTTGCCATTGCCTTCTCCAGGGGATCTTCCTGGCCCAGGGGTTGAACCCGGGTCTCCCGCATTGCAGGCAGACACTTTACCCTCTGAGCCACCAGGGAAGTCTTCCAGTTTCAAAGACCTGTAGAAATCCCAAGGAGGGACCACAGACACTACACTCTTTCCTCCTTGTCCACCTGGATGCAAAACTCAATCTTTCCTTCACAAAACAAAACTTCTCTTCACCAGTTTCAACAAGAAATCTGCTCCTCCCATGTTTACCGGGTCTCCTCACCTTTCGTTTACTTTCTCACGCAGTCTTTGTTCCCTCTCTATGAAACTGCTTTCTGCGAATTTTGAATTCTTATTTTGTGTAGAATATAAGGATCTCCTGCCCTCAGCACTCGATACATAAAACCCCTTAGGGAGGTTATCAGAATAAAGGAGGTATCAGAACCTGCCTTTCTTAGGAAGTTAGGTTTATAAATACACAATACTCTCCTAAGGAAAATTCCCCCAGAATTTGCATGCAGGAGGTTTAGCAGCAGTGCTCTTGAAAACAGAAGTGCTCTTTGCCAGGGAAGTGAATTGTGCAGAGGTAGGATTTGAAATGGTTGAAACAGCAGCCTCAGCCACTGCCACAGAGATCCCTCAAGGCTAAGATGATCCTACAATGGAATTAGAATGTCCC